TCTATCCTGTTAACAGAAGAGAGGAGGGTTTCCACAGCAGCTCCAGCCGGCAGTCAGAGGACAAGACAAGCTATACTGGTTTCGCTTTGATATCCAATAGGCGGCTTAACATCCTCATTAGATCATATCAACCCTGCTTACACACACAAGCACAAAGCCGGGGTGAAATTATCTCTCTCCTACACACTCTACCTAAATTATCATAAAATCTCATCATTTGTTTGTGTTTGTCCCTGTATGAGTGTGTGGGTTTGTATGTTTGTACTTGAAATTGTGTCTCTGCTCAGGGTGGTTTGTGTATGTGTAAGTGTGTGTGTTTGTGTGGGGCAAGATGACCTTGTTATAAGCTGAGTGGGCTGTAGTGCTGGGGCATCATTAGTATGGTTTAGGTGAGGGTTAGAGGGTGTGTGTGTGTGCGTGCGTGTGTGTGTGTGTGTGTGGAGGTGCAGGAGTGAGATAGCGGGAGACGTGGGGTGACAGTAGAAGAGGGAAGGTAAGGGGGAGATGTATGTGGGTCGGGCCAGGACACACAAACACACGTCACTCCGGCCGTCACTACAGCACAGGTACAAAGCGAATGTTTGAGGACACATACGTGCGCACACACACACAATTGTTTCAGAGTACACCTCCTCCTCTCCTGCAATAGCCTCAAATGGTCTTCAACAAAGGGAACCTGAAGTATCCAGTCACAATGTAGTGACGTACTAGCAGAGAGCGGTTGACACACGATAGCGTAAACACGCACGCTTACAGGCATACGGAAAGACTGAGGTGCACGTTTGAGGTGTCTGTGGAGAGTCCCTGACACACTGGTCTGTAAATACGGTGGGCAGATTGTTAAACTGGCACACAGCAGCTCATCTGTGCTGACTCATGCCACACAACTCTCTAGATTTGAAGTTTTCCATCGGTTAATGTATTCAAAATGGCACTACAAGATTACATAATTAAATGAGCTCTGGTAGGCTGAATAAATCATTTCACTAATGCTTTCTGCTTACTTATAGGATATGGCATTTTGTGTGCTTCGTCAAAGGATTGAATCCCCACCTAAATTTGCACCAAGCTGTGTAATCTCCTTTGGGGTTCCCTGGAAAAGACCTGCAGCACATCATAAGTGGTATCAAAACTACCAACCTTACCACATTTTTTTCCAATAGGTTGTATCAGAACATTCAACAATAACTCAAGCTGTGTAACATTCGCTATAGAGTAGGAAGCAAAGATAGATTAACTTCCAGGTTCTTAAAGGTAAAGTCAATGTAGAAGCACTTTAACCCTGCAATCTCTTCAATAACCAGCAGACTAGTAATATTGGCTTTATTTTTAAACACACAACAAGACCCATCAAACATTTTAGACTTCCTGGGACTAAAAAGGTCCAGTTACTTCAGATGGAAACAAGTAAGGATGACAGAGACCGATTTTTAATGAACAATGGAAAAAACAAGGAGAAAAAGCAGCACAGATCACTTTGCAAGTGGTCTGATGTTACAACGTTGGCTCAGAGTTAAAGATTCACTGCTGCTTTCCGGTGAGTTGTGGACTAACGTGTAACTTGAGTGAGTTAATGGTGCTCTGGGGTTGATCAGTGTTTCTCTACCTGCCTTGGGGATACTTGCACATGTGCACCTTATTCATAAGTTCATGTGTTTAGCTTCTTTTTTTTTTTTACTGTGAAAGCTCTCGTGTTGTAATATGTCTGTAGTTAAATCTGGGCTGAATTTTAATTTAACAGTCTCAGAGTTAAAAGAAACCAATAAAAGGTAACCAGAGCCAAAGGAGCTCATGTCAGATAACAGCGACCAATGAAAATACATGACTATTCAACAGACTGTAAGCCACAGCATGCAGAATAAGCCAAAAGAAGGCAAATGAAGCCCATGGAAACAATGGAAGGCAGTTGGAAGCAAAGTGAAGGTAAGCTGTAAGCAAGCTGGTCTGAAGTGATGCCAGGAGGAGGAAGAAGAGGAGGAGGTAGAGGCCACAGCTCGAGAATATTCCAGTTGTTTATTCCTGGCCAGGGGTCAACTGTAGCCTCGGGTAAATCTCTGAGAGGGAGGGAGAAACTCACACACGATGAGGATTCAAACTCGCACTCACCAGCTAGCATACACACAGACACACGGGGGGGTCCATGACACATGCACACATGATGAAGATATCTTGTCACACACGGTGCTCATCACAGGCTTCTGTAGATCATAACTTGAAATGGAGAAGCTGGTAATGTGTCTCAAACCACAGCCTCCATACGTGCCCGTGATTACGATAATAAATCCACAGGAGTGTGAGAAGCAGTGAAGCCAGCAGGATGTAAATGGCTTTAAACAATGGGAATGGTAGCGCACGTGGCCTTTTCCCGAGGAGCTGGCACTGCCACGGCCTGTCCAACATATTTTACAACCATAATTATAATATAGAGAGCAGCTGCCTCTATGGCAGATGCTGCTTCACACGCCAGAGGTTTCCCTACGTAATTATCACAAAGAACTCGGCATACCGCTAATAAATATCACACAGGTGCACAGGAACATGCATACTTTGCACAGAGTAGCAATAAAGGACAGCGGAGGGCAAGTAAACGGGAAAAGGCAACGTCCAAACTGGTCAGTCGACAATCACATCCGGTCACACACACAACTGTTCAGATTGTCTAAAGTTTTATTAATAATGTGAAACATAGTAATGACAGCAGAATGTTGATATTCCTCAATGTAGTTCCCAGTCATCTGAGTTCAATTAGATGCTTAAAAAATATAAGAAAGACAAATAATTAAATATACAATTAAGTTTTATGATCCCCAAATCCCTAATCTATGGAAGCCCATTTCTGCCACTAAAAAAAAAAAAGTATCTATAACTCAAAATTTCAAGTTATTTTCTTGAAATTTTGACTTACTTTTCTCAAAATTTCGAGTTAATAACTCAAAATTTTGAGTTAGCACTGCCAATCAGTAATTACGTGAATGATGTCATTTCCTTATTACCCGGAAGCTGAAGCCCTCAGCTGCAAATGCTACAGCTAAGCTATCAGTATTAGAGCCAGTCATGAAAGCACAAATTGCTGATTATCTTCAGCGTGGCTTCACAAGTGATGAAATCCTTGTGTTATTAGCTGAATTAAATGGCATTACTATCAGCAAACGTTCTCTCGAAAGCACCAATTTGTTGTGATCCGGTTTTGAGGGGGCATTCCATGCCCCCTCAAAACCGGACTGGCAGAGCTAACTCAAATTTTCAAGTTACTTTTCTCAAAACGAAAAGTAACTTGAAATTTTAAGTTAATAAGTCAAAATTTCGAGAAAGATAACTCGAAATTCGAGTTATCGATATGTTTTTAATTCCATACTAATCTGATGGTAGGGTTAAATCTGAAAAAAAAAAAATCAAGGCACAAATATAATAAAATGACATACCTGAAAAATGATGTGCTTCATCTATTTTGTTTTTTTCCCCTGTCTCTAAAGCATATGTGGCTAGCTCTAACCTCAGAGTTACACCTATTCCTAATCCTTTGTTAATTCAGTGAGGCTCAAGGCTCAAGTAAGTCAGTCGACCAGTTGACCAGTGTTGCCACCTTAGCGACTTTTTTTCTAAAAAGTGACTAGCAACAAATCTGGCGACTTTTTCTGGTGTTATTGGAGACTTATTTATGACGACTTTTTGATGTGAAAGCGCGTATCACTCTTACAGTCAACAAGCGGCGGGTACTGCCGTGGGCACCTTGCCTGTGCCAAAGCGCTATCAGGGCAGGAGATGTTCACACCAATGCATCCAAACTGCAAATGAATCGCGCACTGACTGTAACACAGTCAGTTCTTCTTTTGCTGTTATGTGGATCACAAGGCTTAAAACTACTTATAAACACACACACAAAGTAACTCTACCAGAGTGCCTATTTCGGGTCACTTCTGCCAGTCCAAGCCCGGATAAAGGAGCAGGGTTGGAATTGTGACATTAAAAAACAATAACTGCTAAAAGAAATTTAATTTGTAGTTCTAAATAAATTCTAAGTGCATTTAGGACATTTTTTACTCACTTTATGTCTCTTCCACGATGTCATTTCTCTCTCCAACAACGTAGGTTACAATTACATTAGCATGACCAATTATGCAAATTAGGCGATGACGTCATTTAGCGACTTCTAGCGACTTTTAGGACAGCCAATAGCGATTTTCCTTACTGAGGAGTTGGCAACACTGCCAGTGACCAAGTCCACTCCACTTGTACGTGTGCCTGTGTTTCACGACCCAGTCCTGCCTCTCTTTATCTAAATTTAGAAAAGTATTTTCTAACAGACCCCAAAGGTTTATATCAGGGGCACAAACCCTCTTGTGCAACTTGTGCAGCAAGGTCACCCTAATCAAACAAATCAACTGTTTAGTTCAGTGTGAAAAAAAAACTTGCAAACAAGACATGTTAGTCCAAAGTGTGTTTAACCTGTTTTGAAGGAAGCACAGGGAGAGTAATGGCTGTCAGAATTACAAATGAGAGACCTCTTGACATTTTTACTTCCCAGTAAATCACTGCATGCATGGGCCACATTTACCGTAGGCTTGCAGATTACCAGAGTGTGTGTGCGTGTCTGTGTCAGTGTATGAGTGTGAATGTGTCCACATGCACCCTGACAAAGTCATCACTAAAGTCACAGCACAGGTTGGCTGATGCCTGTGGTGAGTGTTACAGAGCTGAGTGTATTAGCTGGAATTTACTCTGTCCATTTCCTGTACGAGCCCTGTTACAATAAACACAGGACATGTTGGGTACAGCTACCAGGAAGATGGGCTGGAATGTTTCCCAGATTCAGATTAAGTCCTGAACTCTGAAATTACAGGCTTTACAGCTGAGGATTAATCTGTCGTCTGGCAAGTCAACTAAAATTCAGTTATCCAGCAAACAGAGCAAAGAAAAAGAGGGGATTGGGTGGGGGTTACAGAGGGGAAGTGCCAAACTGGAAAAGGGGATTTGAATGAGGAAGGCCTTTACAAACTCACCTGGTCTTTTCTCCATTTTTCTCCCTCGACTGCCACATAATCGAACTTTTGATATTAATATGAGGATTTGCTTCTGGCAAAGTGACTTGTTGCTCTTCGGGCAGGGCTTTCGCTTGCTGGCGATCTGCCGGTTTGCCTGGGGGTCCTTGACCTCCCTGCGCTGGCGGATGAGGGAACTGGCAAGAGCGGCCATCTTCCCAGTGCTGACCCAGCTGCCCCCTCACCAGCCTCTGGCGGCTCGGTGGCACCCAGGTGTCGGGGGGTACCGTGGGCCACCCCCCTGCCCACTCACCCAGGGCGACGGAGCACCACTGAGGGAGGGGTGCAGAGCGGAGGAGGGGGCTTCCTAGGACGAATCAACTGGGAGGGAACAGAAAAAGAAGGAGAGGAAGGGAGGAAGAGTTGGAGGTGGAGGAAAGAGAAGGGTGGATCCTTTAAAAGCCCTCCCAAGTCTGACAACCACTGCTCACGGAGGTTTGGATGAGTGGTCGTTTGCCTTTATATGTCCTTCTGGGATTTGTGCGTTGTGGTTGGGAGACCGATTCAAGTAAAGCTTTCACATGTCACTCTACCTCTGCCAGGACGAGTCATGTTGTTATCCACCCAAATTCCAGTGCAGTGTAGCCGCTATCCCTCTGACACCTCTGTCCCACTCTAAGAGTACTCCAAGCACAAATGAAGTTTGTCTCAAAACGGGACTCGTCGCATTATAAAACCAGAACCATTAAAAAAACGATGAAATTTAGTCCTCTTCACCTGCTCAGTCCCAAAAATAAGAAGCCTGATGCTGTTCACTGGGACAAAAAAGGGGTCCACACATTAACTCTCCAAAATGACAGGAGTATCACTGTTGGGACAGCCTGTGACTCCCGTCCTTTCTTTGCCTTCACCTGTAAAAATTCTCCACCTCGAACACAGTCAGAGCAAGAGAAGTAGAGGAAGAAGTAGTGACTGTCCGACCTGAGGTATCAGCTCTGCAAGCTGATGAAGGGATGCGGCTTCTGCTGAACGGAGCGCGGCTTGTTTCCTCGGCATCTTTCAGGCTCCCCTGGCATCCCCGTCGCGTTCACCCGCGCCCTGAGAGAAGACAGGGAAAAAGACGGAGACTTGACAAATCCAGCATTTCCCAGAGATAGAGGTGACATTCATGAACGAGAGAGCGTGGGGACAGAGAGACAGACAGCGACACAGAGGGGGGGAAAGAGAGAGAGAGAGAGGGAGGGAAAGAAAGAGAGGGAGGGAGTGCAGTGAGTCTATCTATCCCTCCTGTCGGATCAGGCTCTCCAACTCTAACAGCAGCGCACTACACCACAGCAGAGCGGAGCGCTGTGTCCTTCAGAAACTCATGCCACTTCACAGCGGGGGGGAAGAGAGATGAATGAATAGAGGGAGACAGAGAGAGACGGTGGGAGGGAGAGGTGATGAGGAGAAGGGAGTGACAGAGGAAGGGGGGGGGGGGTGTGCAAGCAGGTAGCTCTGCCTTACGGTGGGTGCTGTGTTGCCGGTGCGCGTGCAAAAGTGTCTACTGGTGGGTGACAGCAGTGTGGTGTGGTTCTGCCGAGTCCACCTGCACAGTCCGCGTCCGTGTGAGAGGAAAGTCTGTGTCTCCGGTATAAGGCTTCTCTCAGCCCGATTGCACACGTGCAAGGGAGTGAATATGGGAGATAGGTGTGTGTGCATGTGTATACACTGTGAAGGTGTACGGGTGCGAGGGTGTGTGACACAGATGACCAGCATGTCGTGTAAATGTGAGTGTGCATGTGTGACTCGCTTTCCGGCATGTTCCCGTTCACAGTGCATTCACCGAGCGTGTGCTGGCAGCGTGCTTCACACGCTCAATCCCTCCCTCCTCTCGCTCTGTCTGTCTCTTGCTCTCTCTCACACACACACACACACACAGACACTCCCTCCCTCACTCTTTCTCAAATCTATTTCCCTAAACCCTCCCCTTTGCTCCTCTTCTTCCCTCCCTTTTCTCCTCCCCCTCTGTCATTCAGATCTCTCCTTCTACGTCTGAGATTCACCGTCGCCTCCTCCCCTATCTCCCATCTATCACCTCTCATATGTTATACCAGTTCAGACCAAGCCACCTCCACTCCACAACATTTAAAGTGATGTTACCTTAAAGAGTCCAACTAAGCAAGGTTGTCGGTGCTGCGTTCTCCGCCGTGATGAGGACATACAGATGCTGTGACACATAGCCTGATTCAGTCAGGACCTCCTATCTCTGCCGTCATGTTATCTGCACACAAACACAACATCACATAGTTATGGGGTCATATCACGCAGAATGAAACGAGAGTGTTTACACCCAGACTTTGGTTAATGGGCCTAAATTGCACTGTAAGGTTTTGTACAGACACCAGTATGGAAGACAGGCTAGACAGCTAGCTCATTAAACGCTCTGGTAAAGTACATTAAACATCATGTAAATTTACCCAGAACTCACTTTTCTCAACTTAGAACAGGCAGATACTCACTTTTAATGCCGTGGCTAACAAGACGCTGTCTGTTCTTCTTAGTTTCCATTTTCTGTAATTCAGGCTGGAGCTCAGTTTCCTCCAGCTCAAGCACAACACTCAAACGCTCCACGCGTAGCATTTCTGATAGCATTTGTTCGTTCTTCCAATAAGAATTAATTATTGACCCATAGTGTCCCGGTTTCTTACCAAACTGACCATATTGAACTAATGCACATTCTCAGACATGTGCAGTTAACCTGAACAAAGACAAAAAAAATGTAAAAAATAAAATATTAATATATTTGATGAATTGCCTTGAAATTATGTATTCATGGAACAATGGACCAGCTTGCTAACCTTTCAAGGATACTTGAGGGTGTGTGGTAGTTTGTCCAGTCAGCCTACTTTGTGGCCTTGGAGAAGGAATTCAATCAAATCAGTTGGAAAGTTGGTTCGGGAGCATGTTTTGGTGCTGTTAGACCCGTTGGGTGTCAGTGTCCAACTGTTATTTCTTGCAAAACCTTCACAGACAGGATTTCTGGACACAGCCAGGGCCTAGAAGGTATTAGGTTTGGTGGTGTCAGGATGATATCTATGCTTTGTGGATGATGTGGTCCTGTTGACTTTGTTGAGCGATGTAGCTGAGTATAAAGATGTTGGTATACTCTACCTGAGTGCTCGAAGCACTTGTACAACTTGCTGTATTTAAACTACCACACTTTCCCTGCCCTCAATGCTTTTTCTAAATAAGTACTTTCTCTCTAACATTCACACTCTGAAGGATTCATTGGAGAGCAACTTCGGGTTAGGGATCGAAAAACCAGCCTTTCAATTATCAGATGATCTGCTCAACCTCCTAAACCAGAACTGGCACATCATCTCAGGAGCTTGATCAGGTGTGTCCTCAGAGTTTGTTTTTGGGTTAGTTGGTTTTTTGTTTGTTGGTTTTTTGTCATTATTCTGCATATAAAGACTGAGGTCTATTATAAGTATTCTGTGGTACTGGCCTACATACTTGAAAAAACTTTGGCCACACCAATAAACACAAGTTCACTGTATGTGCGCTATCTGCCTATTAGTTTGGGCTCGCCAGCCACTTTGTTGGAAATGCTGTTATGTCCAGCTTCTATCTAGCATACATGGTAGATGTGAAAATGGTCAAATAAAGTCTTTGAGCATTATGACCTTGAGTAGTATTTTTTGGGTGACGCTTCTGATGTTCCATCAATGATGCCTAAAATTTTCTGGACCCACCAATAATCCAAGTAAGTCATTCTTTTTTAAAAAAAAAATAAACATGCTTGTGCTGACTGCTTGCTCAGCTAACATCCTGTAATTACCACTTCCACCAAGGCTCTTACACTGTCAGATAAAAACTGTTTTAATCTCTAAAGACTACACTGATTAAGGCCTATTAAAAAATAAAAGAAAGAAAGAAAGAAAGAAAGAAAGAAAGAAAGAAAGAAAGAAAAAAGAAAGAAAGAAAGAAAGAAAGAAAAAAGAAAGAAAGAAAGAAAGAAAGAAAGAAAGAAAGAAAGAAAGAAAGAAAGAAAGAAAGAAAAACAAGTTTAGCACTTTGGGAGTTTGAGCAGGTGATTGTGAAAGGCAGGAGTAGCTACAGATTTAGAGTGCATTTAATCTTGTGAGAGAACTGGCAGTTGCCTCTAACTTCAGCTGACATCTCCATACATATTTCTGTTCTTTTGGCCCATGTTCAAATTTTGATGCCGGAGGGCAAATTTATGAATGCCCAGACTGAATGACACAGGTGGTAAGCTGGCAGCAGGACATCACTCAGTTGCCAAGGATGTAGCAATATGGTAAATTATGGCAATTAATCACATCGTACCTCTCTATCTGTCATTTATCAGTCTGTTCACCTATTCAGTGATCATTGGACCAATAAGAATCGAGTTAAGTAGCAACAATGAAATTACCACACAATTCTTATTCAAATTAAGCAAGGCATGTGACTGTACAAGCTTTTGTAAGTAATTTCAAAGAAAAAAAGGGTAATGAAATCCACTTGACTATATGTAAAAGACCCCGAGAGATAATCGACTGATGGTGAAGAGATTCAGAAGCACAAACACTTCTGCATTTATATTCTTCAACATTCATCAATAAATAAAAAAAGAGCTGTATGATGGGTTCTTTTCAAATTTTCAAATACTAAAAAATTTTAACGAAAAAGAGTTTTTGCAGCTGTTTTTTTTGTCTAAAATGTGTTTTTCATTGCCAATATTTTCCCATCAATGCACCTAGAAGTTGTTTGCTGAGTCCCATTAAGCGACAAAAATAGAGGAACACATTCCTGACTGCATGCATCAGACCAGTAAAGCATGTGTGGTGCTCTGCAGTTAGGACTCTCTTAAACTATGCACTCACATCTGACACCATTTTGGGGTGGGCATGATATAGAAAGAACCAAAAAATTCATTAAAAGAATTCCCAGTAAACCTGCACTTTTTCTTGGAATGCCCAATCACTACTTTTAACACATATTTTCACCAGTATACCACCAAATGTTACTTTTCATATCAAGCAAAAATCTTTATGGAAGTGTCTTAAACCTCTCTTTTTTCTAATGGCCAGCAGTGGGTGATTTCTCTGATGATTTCCAACAAGAAGTTCAGCTGTATAAGTCTATAATATACGCTATATAGAATGTTATAATATAGCATATATACAGTGTTGGTCAAGTTACTTGAAAAAAGTAATCAGTAACTAATTACTGATTACTTCCCCAAAAAAGTAATCCCGTTACTTTACTGATTACTTATTTAAGTAATTAATTGCTGAAATTGCTGAGTTACTTAGTTACTTAATCACTTTTTAAAAACACGATTTACAACCTGAATAGGTGATAAAGCGATAGATCTTTCAGCCCAATTCTACTTTTTCTGCATAATCCATCATACAAAATGTAATCAAATGGAAAAGTCTCTTTTTTTAACTTGTTTTATCAGTTTTAATCTTTTAACTTTATGCATCAAATAAATATTAAATTGCACCATTCTCTGACTTGAAGAACTTAGTTTAATATTTAAACTTATTTTCTGCACATTCCAGCACATGAAATAAAATATTTTTTGTGTTTACACTCAGTCTTTCAAATAGAATCAAGTAAAACACAGCAGAAAATAAATAAAGTCAAAGACTCAGCAGTCCTGTTGCTCTATTTTCACCTGTAAAGCAGGAGTGGCGTAGGCGGAGGTTTACCCTGGTGCAGGTGTGCCGCAGCGGTCAGTGGAAGAATCCGCGAGTTTCTCTGAGTTTCCCATTACGTCGTTGCGCACTCGGTGCTTGCTTGGAAGTTTAGGGGTTTTTTTCGCTGTAAAAAGACGTTTTCTTCCCACGCACAACGGACACTAATGTTTTTGTCACTTTTTATGGAATCAAACTGAAAGTAAGGTCAGTACTTCAACGCTTTAAACGCTGCACGCTCATACTCTCTCCCGCACTCAATATATTATCCATTGTTGATCTGCACACAGCTGTTGTCACGAACGTCGCACTCGCTTACGTCAATGTCATGAGACATTCTCGCAAAAAAAAATCACGGTTTTAGTAACGCAGTAACGCAGCGTTCCTACAGGAAAGTAACGGTAATCTAATTACTATTTTGCGATAGTAATCCCTTACTTTACTCGTTATTTTAAAAAAGTAATCAGATTACAGTAACGCGTTACAAGTAGCGCGTTACTGCCCATCTCTGCATATATATCCTATATAATATAGGGTACATGGGTTGTTTTTTTTTGATGGATTGATTTCAGCACAGGCTTACTGTGTGAATGACAAGCTGGTACTGAATGAGTGGGGAACAGGTTGGTGCTTGATAAGGAGAGGATCCTGGTCTTGAATATGGAGTATATTCTACCTGCGCCTGTGTGGCTTTTTCTGTGGGTGTTC